GTAGCCAAGTATTCACATACTTGATGTAATTTTAATTTTCTTGTCGTTTTATAGACAGGAAATATAGGGGAGGGAAGCGAAATATATTTGTTTAAATAAACTTAAGCGAAAATATCTTGCTTATTTTTTCACAATTTAGTGATCCTTATCTAAGGCATTCATATCGGTCTGCTAACTGCACAAGGAAATCCCAAGTGGATGAAACCTATTTGTATATAGTTTTTAAACATTGTAATAATTGATAGAGTGATTATTTTACACTGGAGGTACACTTTAATATTTTATATACTATTGTTGCTTCATCCATGCCATTTTATGCTTTACAAAATTGAATTTTTACAGTACACTTGTATTGTTAGCAGCAGCTGTCATTAACCCATAGTACTAATTAAATCTTACAAAATCTAAAGGTGTGAACCCTGACGTAAAAAAAAAAAGTTAAAAAAAATCAACTGAAAATAGGAGGTTTTGCACTTATTTTGCATGCCTGTAATTGGCCATACCAGACAGGAGGCATGGAGAATTAAGCTCATGATAAGTAATCCTGTTATGCTATACCGATTACTTTGATTATTTCTAACAGCACTCCTGCCTCTTGACCTCTTAAATTCTTTTTTTCTTTTCTCTCTTTCAATGTAAAGGGTAGAATTGTTTTGTAGGATTTTAAGTTAAAGGTATGTAGAATGGTACTGTCCTGATCTCCCAGCACTGCTTAAGAGTCTTGTGAAAGTACAATACCATAACATAGACAGCTTCTTGAGACTGCAACAACAGTGTAATTTCATTAGTCTCAAGATTGGTATTTATGATTTTTGCACTGGTAAAAGCAGATTAAAATCAGGTTTATGTGATTCCACAGCATGACTCTGGAATAGCAATGATAATAATAAAAGAAATCCATATAAGAAAATTTTACAAGTAGCTGTGTAGCGTAAGAAAAATAAAATGCCTGTAGCAATATCGAGATACATTTAAAGCACAGTGTTAACAATAGCAGTGCCTTTTCAAGCTCGCACATCCACATTCAGTAGCTGCTTCCACCCGTGTCATATTATACTATATTAAACCATCATCTTTAGCATGGTCCCACTAAAACGGCAACTTTAACTTTTAGTGGTTATTTATTCAGTGCTGAAAGTTCTTCCGACACCCACCCCTGCTGCAACACACACATACAGAAGTGCACAGAATTTTCAGCACCTTATGCATAAAACACTATATCACAGTGGCTGCTGAGGTCGGACAAATGCAGGATGCCCAACCAGATCCACTAAGAGGACCTCGTCTCACTGTTTTAGCCAGCTTGTGTAAGAGCGAACAGCCAGCAACATCAACAGGGTTTCAGTAGTGACAGATGTGAGTGTACAGTCAGAGCAACAGTGAATCCTCAGCCTCAGCTATGTTTGTGTTGCATTTCATGGATTAAAAAAAAAAAATTAAAACAAATGTGTTGCTTTAAATTAAAAACAGATCAATTGGTCTCTTTGTTTGAACCACAAATACATAGATATGCTCCAGATTTCATTAAAAAATAATATGTTTTAAAAAATACATCTGAAATATTTTTCTCCGAGCGTGCACGTGATCATTCAAAGGGGAAAGAGGACTTTAGGTTTATGTTCATATCACCATTCAATTTTAAAATTAAACACAGCTATCATTACAAAGCTGCCTGCCCATTCAAATTGGACTGGTTTAATTGCTCACATGCAACCGTGCAGGCAACGCTTGCATGCTTTTGGCACTGCTTTGGCGGCACTGGGTGGTGTGAGCCAGCGGCAGGGGCAGGGCAGGCAGAGCATCCCCGCTGTTCCTCTGCGCGTTGCTCGCCGCGATGAGCGCAGGGATGCGCGCAGCACATTTACTGTGCGCTGGTTCCTTTGTTCTGCAGCCGCACGATGAACGTGTCCTGACTGCAGTTTTCCGGATTTCCAGTAGATGCCCCCAGAGACCATTAAACCACTTGAACGGCTCCAACCAAATGAAAGGCCAGTCTTTTTTCATTTTGCTTCTTGAAGCAACATAATTGTTCCAAGGAAACCTAAAATCGGCGTGGACGCAATGTAGAAAAACAAAATTACTTGTTAAATAACATCATAATTTATTAGGTACTAAGGGTCAAAAGGTTTAGTGTAAATTATATTATTAATGTAGTAGAAACATACTTTTAACGGTTGGATTTTATATATAGTACATTTAATTAGGTATCATTTTTTTATCTTGATATTAGGAATACAGTAATCTTCGGTTATGTGAAACAAGACATGCTGTTTAACCTCTCATTTTACATGCCATGTGTTCTATAAAGCAGTATGAAAATTATTTTGAGGATTGCAGATTTATAGTTTATATCAAGATATTGTGAAAAGTTTACTTCAGTCACCTGCACTAGTCCTCTGTTCAAAAACACTGTTTGTTGGAAAAAAGACACTGGCATTTTCATATGGAACAACTTTGGTAACTGGAACAATTTCAGAGCTTTTTGCATTCAGGCTCTCTTAGGTGTCACAAATGCCAGTCATCTCTATAATGTCATTAATTTCTAGCTCTATGTTATTGCTTGTGTGTGATCAGTCACTTGTGGCTTGTATATTGCAGAAACTTAAGGAAACAAAAGTATTATTATTTTGCTTTTTATGTGTTTTCTGTTTTAAAGTATAACAGAGAGATAACATTTATCTTTACATCTCTAAAATTTGAATGGTTATACAGTAGGTAGCCTCATTGCTTGCGAGTTAAAATCAGTTATCTTTACCTAAGGGGGGGGGAAGTGTGCTGCACCATATGATTCCTTCTGCATTATTTTAATTTCTTTATTAATTGGGATGGGGTTTATTAACAGAATAGTGAAACCAATTTTCCTGCATGTTTTGCTTTTCTGTATTGATTTGGTAATGCTCTCTTGCAGGGAAAACGTGCTTTGACTTCAAGTAAAATGCATCAGTCTACAGCAAATAACATGTTACACAGACACAATCTTTCTGTTCCTACAAATATTGGTACTGTGCTGAGCGAGTATGCGGTGAGTGTTAAAAATGAACCGAATTATGTTTTGTTTAGTCACTGTTAAGATCTTTTAGCAGTACTTTCTTATTTACTTCCAATACATCCAATGATGTAATGCATGCACACATATGCACATATATAGATCACAGTATAGAAATAAATATGTATGCATATGTGTCTACTAAGCAGATTGTTATTCCATTGCTCTGAGTTATATTACTGTAGGATTCAGTCCTGGCCTTTGGAAGGTGGTAGGAATTTTTTACCTATATTCCTCAATTATTTTTTTAGTTAGATAGAAATTTTAAATATAAAAAAATAAAGCATTCCGTATATAAAGAACACATTGTACTGTATTAACATAATATCTTTACAGTATTTTTAGCTATATACTGTGCATCTGATAGATGACAAATATAGCATAATCTGGCAAATTTAAAAATTAAATGTTTAAATATATTTCTCATCTACTTTTCTAAGATAAGTGCTGCAAATGTTTTCTGGTACAGAATAGTTCTGTATTTTCTCTTGTGGATGTGAACAATGTGTACTTTTCAGTCTCAAAACTCACCTATTTATATATTAAACATAATACATATTTATACATATAAACATATATATTAAACATAAATTCAATACTGTCTAGTCTAAATCCTATCAGGACTTTGTAATATTTTTGTGTTCGGTTTGGCAACTGAAATGTAAAAAATACATATGAAGGATTAATGTGTATCTAGTAATTAATAGATTTTATTTTAATCATATAAAATATTAAATAATGCATATTATTTACTCATTGCATATCACATTACTGTTTATTTCATTGACATCTAGCTAAGGAGTTTTTTACATCTCTTCCATCTTATTAGCATTTTTAAAGAACTATAGTAGCTTTTTTTAGGCTAGAAGTATTTGTCTTATTAAGCTATTGTTTAGCATGAGATCATCTGATTTTATTACATACAGCATAAACCTCAGTTTTCAGAGTTCCATATTTATTTTAAAACTGCTGAGAATTTGAAGTTAAATGCATTTTAATCTAAAAAGACAGTCTTGACAAGAGTTTGGAAACTTAATGGAATATACAAGATAAAATTAAAACATCGGTGTCCTTGCCATTTTACTGGAACAGAACTTCGGTTTTTGACACTAGATACCTATGCCTACAAACCTTTACCTCTGTACTTTAGTGTTGCAGGTGGTCCTGTTGGATTCCATTTTCTCCAGGATAGCACACAATGATTGTTTCATGCCACGTAAAAGAGATCTTTTTATTATTTCCATAAATACTGCCTCAAAGTATATATTACCTCTTGAGAATATTTGATTACACAACTTTTTGATTTGTATATCTTATCAGAGTTTATGAATGAGGTAACTTTGATATAAATTCATCATTGCATCATTTGATTTTAAAATTAGGAAGAAATCATCAAACTTTTGCATCAGTAAACCAGTCCCAGCTGAAGTTATATGCTAAACAGAAGCAAAATAATATCTAATGATTATGTTTCTGGCATAACATTTGTTTGACATTTTAAACCAAGCCATCATATCCTACAGCAAAACTATTTAACATATACATTGTTTTGACACATGGAATGTGCCTCATTTTTTCCTGTGCACTGTTTTAAAGCAAACGAAGAGTTCATTGTATTTTCATGAACTAATGCAAACATCTATTTTTTTCCCATCTGTCAGCCTTTTTTTACCAATACTAGCTAAAGACTACCAGTATATTTTAACATGTTTTATGTATATCTCGATAGATAGATATTTATTCATTATTGCCATATTTACTTCTCTAGGTTATGACATGTGTAATCATATTTTAGCAGAATGCTTTTTGAGCGAGGGGGAAAAACTACCCCTTCCCTGCTGGTGAACTGCAGAGGTCTCTTCTTGAAAGCCGTTTCAGTTATCTGTACTTATTTGGTAAGGCGGGAAACAGAATACAGGTTTAAAGGCCTAAAATCTATCTTTCTTATTCCCAGGAACAGGAATTCATACAAGAAGAACATCTGCATAGACATGCTGCGACAGGGTTATCACAAGTCCTTCGCTGAGCTCTCCACTCTGATACAGAAGTGGAATGCCTTGAGGGAGGCTGCAGGGCCTGGGTCAGCCATATGGCAGCAGAAGTCCCTGGAGGAGCAGCCTGATAAGCTGGATCAGCTTTACCACTTCCTGACCAGGGCTGAGGCAGCCCAGCGAGCAGGTACATGGGAGGATTGTGGGTAGCAGAGCAGCGGGAGCCGCAGCCGCCAATGCCTGGGGGAAGCTTCCAAATTGTTTCATGTATGAATTTGAAACGTTACTGCGTCTTAGCACATTTCAGCCTTAGTCAACTAAGCTGTATTTATAGAATAAATGATTAGGAACTGCAGATATCGGGAGAGGGTTTGTGAAAGGAAAAAAAAATGGGAGGGAAAACGTGTAGACTGCATTATGGTATCACCAGAAATGTTTGATGTGTTTATAGCTTTGGTAACATCTCAATTATTTTCTTATAGTTTCATTATTTATTGTTTTTCTTTCTCTATTGATTTGAGTCGCTGGTTTTGTATTAGAAAAATTTAATAGGTGAAATGCCGTTTCACACAGTAATAGTTTTATAAATCTGATTTTATTAAATACCCTGTCTGCTAACTGTGTTTGGATTTGTGACTGACTTAAAAAGGATTGTGAACATGTCAAATAAAATACAGTGCACAGATGTAACGTGCCACCTGTGAATTACTAGATATTAGTGAAGACATAACTCCAAATTACTGTATTTTCTCTATTGCCTACTATTTAATAAGCACTCGTATTTATCATTTCCTTTTACTATAAATAGTAACATAACTTACTCTGTCTTTCTCCTTTGAAGTAATTGTAAGGATGGAGGCAGATAAAGCTCTAACTGCAATCTTTTTTCATAGCTGGGCTGATTTTATCACAACTGGCTTGTTTCGAGTTCCATTTGGATCATTACAGGTATGAAAATCTACAATAAAGCTCATGAGTTTGGAACCTAAGCTTTTTGACTGAAATTTAGAAACAGACAACTTCATTTAAAAAAGGAGCAACAAAAACGTACCTTTCAGCACTTAAAAAACCTGTACATTTAAGATGTTTATTTTATGCTTTCTATGAAAGCCAAAAAGTTGTGTTTCCTTATTTAATTCACTGTAATTTTAAGGAGAAGTCTAGCCAGCCTGTGATTGGAAGGAATCTTCAGATTTGCCTGGAGTATGACTAAAACCTGAATAGGCACTCCCGTAGCTTGCAGGAATACAAGAGAGAAGTTCTGCACTCAGACTGCCCTGACAAAAGCATACTACCAACAACCTGGATGTTCAAAAAGTAGTAGATCTGGCTTGACTTGATGAGCTTGCTTCCTGCAGCTGCTTGAGGAGAGCATTTTGCCTCCTTTCAGTGCAAGATATTTTTCAGTGTTACAAACTGATGTGCGACAACAGAGTTTGCAAACACACTCTCAGAGAATCAAGGTGTTGCTGACTGTGCAGTTTCTGCTCCTGCGAAAGGCAGGGGCCCTTCCTCTCACTGAACCCAGCGTTCACTGTGTGCTGAGCTCTGAAAGTCTTTTGCATCTCACAGAGATAAGATACCACCAATTGTCTGACTGATTGTATCTTGCCCCTAGGAGAGAATATCTCCCAACTTTGCCTGTTAAAGTTGGTTAAAATGAAAGAAGAGAAAATAACAAGAACATGCCAATAGAGCTGGCAAGCATTTTCACTTAATTGCTAGATTAGTAGTTAGTTTTGATCTTTGCACCAGCTTCAGTGCAAAACTGTGCACAAATCTCTTGTTTGTTTAAACAAGGCTCAAGACACCTGACAGATAAAGTGGTGGATGCTAATTCATGTTGCAGGTGTTAGAGCTAGGAGTACTGTGAAGATAACATATGAATTATACAGCTCATGAAATACTAATTCAGTAGTTCCGCTAATCCAGTTACTCTCTGATTCTAATCAAATTGCTTGGGGCTCTGGCTTATGATCTCCTGACAGCTCTAGTTGACACCATTTAAGAAGTGTTTAGCAGTTCACCTCGGCTGGAACTCACCATGATCTAGCAGTCACAACAGCAGCTGACCTGTATTTGCTCTTCAGCTGTCACAGTTCTAGCTTAAAAGGCAGAAAGTAATATTTGGACCTGCAAATGGTGATAGTTTCACAATGTGGCTGATGTCACATGTATTAGGCTAGCGGAAAGTTTCCCAGTTTCAGATATGCTGTCCTGTGCTAACAGTTGTATTGAGGAAAAGATGGCAGATGTAAATTATGACTGCTGCTCCTACGTTTAGAGTTTTATAATTGTTACCATAGAGCATAGAGAAAACTAGTTATTAATTTGCTTTCCATGTTTATTAATGGAGTATGTAAAACTTTTCATTTTTTGGCAGCTTGCAGTCATAGAATCCTATAATGTTGGACATAAATTGTTTGCTCGGACAGAATCAGCACCATCCATTGTGATGTGTAGACTGAAATCAAAAAGCAATTATTTATTTCTGGGTTGGAAAATAATGACATTTTGATTGCTACTGCTACATTGGGCCATTTACTTTTACATACACGAGTCAGTGGTCTCTCTTTACATTTTTAGTGAAACATTTTGATTGAACTTCATAACATACAGGACTATTATTATTTTTTTTTTTAATTGTCCATTACCAGTACTATACTATGTACAAAAAATTTAATCTCATTGTCGTTGTGTTTGAATACCTTTCAAGTATTTAAAAATAGAGAGCTAGCATTAATCCTTGCAGCTTCTCAGAAAAATAGCTGACAAAGTTTTTACCCAGCGTTATCCCAAAAACATTGGCAGAAATATTGGCAATACTTGACTGCATTCCTCTCTGTTTTTTTTAATGCAAATAATGTAAATTATTCTGACTTCAAAATTGAGTTGTTTCTAATTATTTCTTGAGCTTCCTTCATTATCGAGGACTAACCTCTCTTTTTACTAGTTCTGTTCTGAGTATTTTTTTAAAGAGATAGTTTAGCTGTTTGAAGAAGTATAGTTGTGTTTTGCAGAAGAATGCAGGAAAAATGTCAAAGCAATGTATCTATGTAGCTCAGCATTTGATGTGTACAGTTATTTCTTGACACATGTACAAAAATGTTGAGGTGTTTTGGTTTTTTTTAAAAAATAACATATTTTGAAGCCACAGAATGACCTGCCACATTGCCTGCTTGCCTGCCTGACTGTACTGCTCAGAGTAATTTCTCTTAAAGGTATAATCATCCTTTAAAGGTATAACACAGTGCTGGCAGGTTGTTGTTGCTATCCCTTTGAAAAGCCACAACTCCCTAGTCACTACTCAGTGCTGCTCTGTGAGTTAGCAGGAGAGAGTTTGAAGCCACAGTCCATCCTTGTCTCACATTGAGGGCTGATAACTAAATATCCTTTGATATGACACCCTGTGAGCAAATGATGACTGTACCCAACAGAGGTGCATCAACTGAACAGAATCTTTTTGTCCATTTTGTCTGTCTAAGACCCTGTGTGTTTGGGTGGGTCATGAGAGTAAAATAGGATCAAAGGAAATCTGGCTAAGAAGGTTTACTTATAATTTGGAATTTTTGAACAGGACCCAGTTTAATATGTGCCTGGGAGAACAGCTTATTACAATGATGAATGTTGCTGTTCCTCAGATAAAAATATTAAAAGTGAAATTAAAACCTTTAAGCTGGTATTTGCATAGATTTTACCGTATTAATGTAACTGATACTTTAAATCACTACTTGGCTGCTGCAGCTTATCTTATTGTTTTAAAATGCATTGCTAATTTACTTGTTGGATCTGTACACATTAGGCTAAGCCACTTCCTTGAATAATTTTGCCAGTGTTGCATAACTATTTTTATTTAGTTGGTTAGCATTGAGCCTATGAGAAGAATGTTTGATAATATGCAGATTATACTGTAAGCAACAATTGTGTGGTTTAGACTGAGGCCAGCCTCTCAGTGATAGTGTGCCAAAGTTGTTTTTTGTCAAATTAGGGATCATCTATCCCAGTGTTATTTCAGAAGGGCTTGGAAATTGTTGCTCTTCAGATTATATTTGAGTTACACATTAAATGTAGGCTTGAACCCTAACTGAATCATTACCTAGAATTAGCAAAGGCCTTGAAGAGCTCATGTGATCTCTGCTTGCTAGAGTGAACTGGTTTACTTGTATCGTACAAGTTGAAGGGAATGCAAGGCACACTGCAGCTCAAGAGCAATTAAAGGAATAATTGTCTCAGCCATTGGGTCTACTTTGCCAGAGCAGGGTAGCAAAACCAGGGAAAATGACACAGTTCAGTGGCTGCAACGTGTACTGAGCAGTCAGCACCTTAGTGGGAGATCACTTGTTCATTGTGCCAGTTCATGGATCTAATACTGGATATGAACATGCCTTCAAAGAGACAAGTCACTGCTTATTAGTTGATCATTGGGGCAGCTGGTGGAAAGCAGGAGTTAAGACCTGGAAGCTGTTGCCTTTCTCAGATTCCATCTGCTCCTGGTTCCTGAACCCATGCAACCTTTGCAGTGTACTCTGTGCGAATTGATGCATCTATGCACATGCTACAGGTTCCTCACTCTTGTGCGTGCTAGAGAATATCAGACATGGAGTTGGAAGGAAGTGCTAACTTGGCTTTTTTTTCCTCACTTCAGCAAAAAGAAAACTTTTGACGGTCTGACTTACCATTTGTTGTTGTTGTAAAAGATGACTTTTCATAAAGTATATGAGGAAAGCATGAGTATTTGAGTTGTTGCACTGGAAAATCTCTGTCTATAGTAGTTAAGGTTGAAAACAGAGTTTAGCATTTTACAATGGAAAGCTTTTCTGTAAGATTTCACACTTGTGCCTTAGGCTGCACTAGAAATATTGTAATAACTATATTACCAATGCTATTTTGGAAAAAAAAATGAGAAGAAGATTGTGCATTAAAAAAGAAAAAACTTACCGAAACCTCTTTTAATATTTGCTTAGGGGAAGTGTAGTTTTGTTTGGATTTGGGAGAATGAGGAAAAGAACACTATTTAAGCAGGTTTGCTCTTCTCTACTTAATATTGTATCACAGGAAAAAAAGCAACAGTTCCTGGAGACCAGTGAAGGAGTTAATAATTTTTGTAATTATCATACAAAAAGTGAAGTGGTTCTGCCCAGGCGAGAAGCCAAGCCTTCTCAAAATACAGCCAGCTGGAGAACTACCATTGACTTAAACTTTTTAAGAACTTTCTAAGAAATGCTGCTTCTGTTGAAGTAGTGAGTTTTCATTGCAATGTCTTGGAGCCCCTATAGCATCCCAGATTACCAGTTAATTATACCTGATAAGAACCCAGGAACAAAGAAAGGCGTTGTTCAGTGGGCCAGTCAGAGTCTAGGGCTTGAATGTAACATGGGGAAATACTACTTGACAGCTGAGATGTACCTGAAGAGATCCTGGTGAGAGCAAGAAATACAATATGTGTTTAATATATGGGGTTTAATGTTTAAGCTCAAGTTGAAGGTTTTTTTTTTCCAAAATCTGTTTAACAAAAAAAATCTCAGAAAGGTTTGATAGAGATACTTTCCTTCTGTGGGTAGACACCCAGTTCCAAAGCTGTTTTCCATTGCAAATGACAATCAAAATAAAATATTTTTACAAGTTCAGGTAAAAAAAAATGAAATAAGTCCACTTTCTGTAATTTATATTCTGTGACCAAAATATGAAAACATTAAAATACTGTAAAACAAATACTGCAACACAGCATGACCTTTTAATTTGTTTTCTGATTAATTTCTGTGAAATATTACTGCCTTCAATTTGGTAATTTGGCATTGAAAAAATTTTCTGTTGGATAATTGCCCATAAGATGTGTACTTTGCCCTGCTTCAGATCTTCAATTAAGTCCAGAACTGCAAACTATTGGGCCTTACCATCTGCTCCACCCAGTTCTGTTTCATCTCTGTAGCTGCCTTTTTGGGTAGATGTTCATTTTCACAGTCTTCTCAGTCATGTGAATTATATGTTCTGGAAGACCTGAATTTAGCTTCCTATGTTTTATGAAATTAATGTTATTTTTGACTTTGAATCTACTTCTATCTACTTTCCTAATTATTTCTTATTTTAAAACAGGAATTTGCCTTGCAGGAACTATTTCACAATTGATTCAGACTTCTCTTTCTGTTCATTTGATGTCATATTCCAGTACTATCATTCTCTCTCTGATAAGTGGTGCAGATAATTTTTCACGTGTGTCTCAACAGATTCATAAAGATGATTTGCCTACATGTGGTCTATTATCAGATGTAGAGAACTTGCTATGCATCAGAGAGGGCAAAGCTTTAGTGACTGAACTACCTATGGGAGGTTTTATAAAAGAGAGTATTTACCTATTCAAATGTGTTTTTTTTCTCCTGGGAGGGGTAAAAGTTGACTAAGTCTGACTTGCTGACTTTACTACTGTCGGTAATATCTCCATGAATTTCTTGATTTGTAAATCAGAGAGACTTTGAACCCAGAAGACAATATGGCTTTTTAAGTCTGTCTTTTGGGGTTTATTTTATGACCAGCATAACTGGTCAGCCACTGTCCAAGACAATTACAGAGAAATGGTTGTCTTTGTGCAGTTCTCATTGTTATTCACCAGCAGGATAGTCATCAGAGGGTCACATTAAAGTTCATTCAATCAAAGCTGTGGCAGTAGCAATAGTCTGCCTCAGGTCAGTTCCATCTCTTGAGATTTGTAGGGCACTACCTGAAGATATTTGCATAATTTTATGTAGCATTAGCGCCTTGATACTTTGTAGCAAAGATTTCAAAGTCAACAAATGGAGTAGAACATTATATACACAATGACAATCCAGTTATATTCCCCTTAAAGTATTATTGTAACCATTTGTACATATTGTCTGGTATCTTTTAAGTTTATTTTCACTTAGCTGTAATCAATATATAATGTGTATTGTTATCTTTATGTTAGTGATTATAAGTAGGTTTTATATTTCTCTGTTCATGTGGTTGTTTATGTACTTGTAATCATCGTGGGAACCTCTGCATTTTACTTCTCAGTTAAAATTTAAAAGTGCTCCCTTGTGCTGCAATAGATGTTTAAGTTGGGATGAGATAAAACACAGCCAAGAAGTATCTGCTTTTCTTCACTGAGAGTGAAGAGATCCTAGATAACCCATATCTGTATCTAAATTGGTTAGTTTGGATGAATCCAAACTATGTCTTGACTTTTTTATCTATGCATATGTATAGACATGCTTACATGTTTATATGTGTGTGCACATTCATACACACAAACATATACATATATGTATATTAAACCCAATCTAGTTCTGTTATTTTCATTCCACTATCATTTGCAGAGATTTTTATAAGGCTATTGTGCCAAAGTACTCTTAATTTTTAATTTATGAATAAATTTTATGATGTACTACTCCTGGATATTCTGAAGAAGAGGAACCTTTTCAGCCTTGAAAGGGAACAAAAGGCATGCAGACTTACAAACATGAATGTTCTGATTAGGAATACATGAAGTCTATGTATAGATAATTATTACCCTCAAAGCCAAATTTCTAACCTTAAGCTGATGTTTGGTATGTTTTGATATCAAACCTTAGATATAAATGATGATATTATAATCTAGTAATTTCTGTGGTATTTCTATTTTGGTGATTTTATGTAAAGAGATTGTAAAACTTTCTAATTTCTTGGAAGGCCTGTTATTTAAGATACTAGAAATGGAAATTGTGTCTGTAACACAAACTGCTTCAAAAATCATATTTTTATATCTTTTAATGAGACATGACAAAGGAATTATTAAAAAGGTAGAAATATGAGGTACCGCTTCATGGAGGAAAAACTCTGAGAACATAAATAGGAAAGCAAAATAATAAATTTTTAAAAAGCAACAAAAAAAGCAATAAAGATATTGGTTACAATTGAAGAAGAGGAATGAGCCTGTGAATCAAAAGACAAAACCAGATGGTGTTCAAGAACGAGGAAGAGACATTTCAGCTTGATTTCAGAAAATTTTAAGCAGGGAAAATTCAGCCAATGTTCTCCAAAATTGCCAAGATAGATAAAAAAATGAATAATAGATACTAGATAAACCTGTTGTAGACTGCACACATGATTGAGCGGTAACAGGATTCCTTCAGAAGACAGAATAAAGTTCTTGCTGTGTAGTGCAACACACTGAAGGGCTTTATCAAGATTATTCTGAAGTCAAAGAACTTAGTCATGATAACAGACAGAATAAGAGATTTTGATTACTTCTTGTTAGACCATATATAATTTGTCATTTTCAATTTTGAGACAGAACATACCAGAGATAAGGCTGAGGAAACAGTCTCTTGTGTGGTTTAGTGATGCATTCAAAGTACTGTTTTGAGTAATTGCTGCTGTCAGTTCCAAACAATGTGAGTGACTCACATAGATTATGGAATTTGCAGTCAAGAAATTAGTCCTTTTTGAAAGTGAGATCTTACCCAATTCTTCCTGTAGGTAAGAAAAAGAAGTGAATTTAACTGCATCCTTTGGTCAAAGACATTCGATACAGTATCATAATTTTAAAACATTTAGAAAAGATCTGTATTTGGAGTGAGTTTTTGCCTGTATTGAAATCCGGGGGTTTTTTCCCCCAGATGATTTCTGTGTGGTGCTCCATACTCAAGAGTAGAGGGGTTTTTTCTTTCTTTCCCCCCCTCTTCTCTCTTTGTTGAGCAAAGATTACAAATTGTAGAACTCCGGAAAGCAAAGGAGTTCTGTTCACTCATCTAGCTTAACCAAACAGTCCCTTACCTGCTGCAAGACTTGTGATTCTTAACTCCTTCTTTACCCAACTACATGACAATTCTGTTAAGAACTGTCTAGCTTACATTCATTTTATGGCCACAAACACCATAAGCAACCAACAAAAACAGCAATGGAATTTTAGCTAATTAGTCCCGTTCACATCTGACATGACCAGAACTTGGAAACGAAATTCATTTAGTTTTGCAAGTGATAATTTTAGCTGTGAAACACATAGATTCATGCTGCACTTCGTTATATCATAGATTCTTCAGCATCAAGTAGGGAATGTATATTTCAACTCCCCCTTAGGGAGAAGCAGTATGATTGAAGTCATCAGGTAGGTTTTAGATCTCTACTACAAATTAATACCATTTTGAGATAATCCAAAGAGGATTTTTTTGTGGATTTTTTTTAAAGATGATTTTAAACAATAATAACTCTAATTCCCTAGAGGCTCTCATTCTGTAATTTTAAGTTGTAAATAATATATTTGTTGATAATTTTGTAATGCTACTTAGATTTGGTATTTGCAATGTTTTTGTAAATTCTATGTATGGTGTGTGTTCATTTAGCTGTCTGAAGTGATAAAGAGTGGGAACTAAATGTGGGTTTTTTCTTTAGATTATAAAGGAAGTCTGTGACTTGGAGTCTCCCCTGCTTTCCACATTTGTTCTGAGAGCAATAGCTTGGTGAACTGACTTTTTCAGGGCAAATTGTAAGATTTCAATTTGTCCTTAATTTCTAAGAGTGATAAGGTAATAAAAATGGGAATGTACGTGAAAACTCAAAGCCTTTCTGGTTAGTCTTACCTGGAACATTTTAAATGGTGCGAATTAATGGGTCGTGTTTGCAGAGTGTTCTGTTTGGGTCTTTGTCTCCATCATCACAGTTGCTACTTTAGACCTGGTTTGAAAGCTCTTGTTGCCTTTTCAGGTCTCGGTGGCTCAGACAAATGCTTCTGCAGCAGTGACTATGTGCTTTTTTTGCTCACTCTAGTTTCTCTCTTTTGACTAGTCAATGTCATATCAAGGTTTTGCATACAGAAATGAGAGCAATTTATTGTGGTTTTACTAAAATAAGTTTTTAATTCTGCCTAATTTGGAAGGATATAATTTTCCCCTTATCATTTTTCTTTGGCTGAGTATATAGGAGAACTTCTTGCTATTTGAGTGGTGGAAATATAAATAGCCATTCATTTTCATTATGTGGCTTTTGCTGTAATGTGTAAGATTTCTGAAAGCTGATGATAATATAACATTGATTGTATTTTTTGTTTTTAAAGGACACTATGAGGAGGTATACGATAACCAGCTTAACTTGGCCTACTATTTCAGTGACTCTGAGGACAAATGGTTAAGTCATTACTTTTATGAGCAGTGCTTTAACACTGCTCAACTAGTAAAAATTGATGGTGGGAAAAGAGAGGCACAAGCACATGTAAATATGGCCCTCATCAATGAGGTACAAGGTAAGTCACAAAGATGATAATGCTCCATTGTATCAGCATTGATACAGTCATATTTGTCAATTTGTGTTTCATCACAGGGCATAGTATTTCAATGTAAAACTGATTTACAACTATAATTTAAAAGAAGTTTGAAAAGTGTTGCAGTTCTAGTTTTTGGGGCAGCGAATAGAAAAGTAGAGTCTGTAACTATTCACAGATCTGTTTCCTCTGCTCACATTCCATCTACAGTTAAAAGTACTCAGTCAGATGAAAATCAAAACGTAAGTTTAAAGGAAGCATTTGTTTAGCACAAAGGTTCTTTGGGTTTGTCCTTATTTCCATTTGCTTGTTCTTGATGAGAGACTGGTAATGCTGCCTGAAGCCACAGATGTTTGAGTAGGATGGCATCTGTAGTTACACAAACTGGGTTGATTTAAAAGAAGTATGAACATGTAATTTAACTTAATCCTGCCTCAATGATGGAAAATTTACATTTGGATAAAACAACCTATATTTTAATATTATTTTTAAAAACTACTGTCTGATTCTCTTGCCTGAAAATGACATCCTGTTTGTTTGTACATGACTGCCATATTAGTGTTTGCTTCAGATTTATACCTTACTATGAGCTCCATTTCTCCATTCATGCATTGGTATCCTGAAACTGAGAGTCTCTGAAATTGGAAAAGATATTAATAGAAGTAACTAGAAACATAGAACAGCCCAGGCTGGAAGGAATCTCAAAAGATCATCTGGTCCAGCCTTTCATGGAAAAGGGAGTGTAGATAAGATTATTTAGCACCCTATCCAATTGCATCTGGAAAACTCCTGAGTGTTGGGGACTCTACCACATCCCTGGGGATGTTGTTCCAGTGAATTAATGTTCTCACTGTAAAAAATATTTCTTTCTTATATCAATATGGATTTTGTTTCTATATTGAAAAACATGCTTTACCTATCATGGCAGCAGGGTTTATGTATGTGTATACATAGCAGTCTTGGTATTAAAAAAAGGTATTTTTCTATGCATGTATAAAATTCTTTCATGTTTTGGGAAGACAAGCAACAAGAATCTTTCAGTTCTAATTTCTAAATGTACTGGACGCCTAATCATGGCTTCAAATATATGTCATTTATATAGCCATTACATTTTTGTTTTTAAGCTTGATTTAGTGGGTTGAAACCATTCCAACTCTGAGCTCAGTTTGAGGCTGGTTTATCAAATAGAATGGCTTTTCTCAGAAAAAATAAGATTCACAAAAATTGAAATATTTTTTGGAAATAGTGTAATTCCTCTGACAGAATGGATGGGTTTTAAAAGGTGGCCTAATTTCCCAGAAAAAAAAACCCCTGGACATAAAACATAAAATCTTCAGCTTTTTTTTTTTCAATTGAAAGGTTATTGTCCTGCTTATACCCCATGTTACCTTAAAACTGAAACATCTCAACTTTTCAATATTTCCTCATATTTTCTAGACTGCTGGTCATTCTCCCCATTTTCCTCTGAACTGTTACCATATCGTTCTTGACTGCAGCACCCAGAGCTGGATTCAGTTTTAAAATTTGAGTTCATACTAGTGATCAATAAAATGGAAGGATTAGTTTTCTTACAAGTTGTATTTTTATTTATGTTTTCAGGTATGACTTCTACCTTCTTTGTTTCAGCATAAATTGCATACTCATAGTCAGTTCATGACCTTCAGTGATCTCTAAATTATTTTCTGAAGAACTGTTTTCTAGCTATTCTGTTCCCCATTCTGGGATCACCAGTCAGTTCTGACTAAATGCAGTATGTTGCTTTCCTTTTGCACTGAGTAGCATCCTGCGTATTGTAGGCAGTTTCTAGACATTGGCAAGATTGTTTTGAATTCTGAAGTTGTCCTTCAATGTGCTTTCTCTTCTTCCTAGTTTCGTATTGTTTGAACATTTAATAAGCAGCCTTTCTATCCTGTAATTCAGATTAACAGTAGTTGCAGTGAATTATGCTTCTATAATGCTTTACAAGAAAGTTAATTACAGTAAGAAAAAGTTTACTAACTTTACTAACTTAAATAGAAAATTTATTTTATAACATTCACTCCTGATGTATTGACATTGGCGTGTTTTCTCTAAATGCTTGGGAATAATCTGTTTATTCCAGTCGTTGAAGTTAAGTTAAATCCAGTTTTCCAGTAGGTAAGATAGCTCTTGCTTAAAGCCTGGCCAGTCATAACCAAGTCATTTTCATTTTGAATGAAAAATGCCGAATTAGGTTATCTGTCTGATACTCAGTAGACTAAAATGATTGAAGTTGCTGGATTTTTTTGCAACCTTTTCACTTGGTCCTTCAGTTATTAAAAAGTAAAATCATAAGACAGTGCATAAAAGCAAACATCCCTATCTATTTGTAGCTTCAAAGGTTCATACTGAGTGTGACTCACTACTGTTATCCAACCACTGCCTAAAAAAATTGTAATATTTCCCACTTTTATAATGTGTTAAGCAACAGTTGTTGATTACTTAAATATCTTTAAGCCCATTACAAAAGCACATAAGTAAAATTATAGTATACATTTTAAGATGCTCAGAGGAGAGGAAATTTCATTTTTCTGCTGTAAAATGTTAGAAACTTCCAGAAGAGAGACTTCTTATTAACACTGGTAAGGAGAGACAAAACAAGGTACATTTTCACTGCCAAGCTCCACTGAATCTGTAATGTCTATTGCAAGTATTTTATTTCCATCAAAAGAGGTGAAAAAACGAAGAAGCTGAGAGACTAAGCATAGGATTTGCTTTGAGAGACTACTGAGAAAAAGAGAGCAGATGTATTTCATGCACTTTTTATTTTCAACGGGTAAAAAGTTAAATCATAAGTTCTGATTGCAGAAAAAGTGTAAGAGCAGGTGTTGAGTTGGGATTGTATAAAATTGCATGAGTCTTAATGATGTTATAAGTAAAATTCAAAACATGCTATTTTTGATACTGGAATAGATAAGTTTAGCTTTTAAATTAAATGGTCATTTTTTGTTGAGTTATTTATAATACTGTGATCTTGTTTGTGAACTGAATGAGTTCAGATGCCTACTTCCTACAGGGATATATAGATGTATACAGGAATAGATACATATGTATAGACTTACATGTGTGCATTCGTATATACATACAGGTATACTTTCAACTGTTTTAAATTATCATACCTGTGTTAACTGCATTGATTATTAGTGCGGGCAGGAAGATAGGAGAATTGAGAAGAATGAGGACTTAGTCTTACAAACCTTTGTGGACATCATTTTAGATGTAAATATCTTGTACAAGTTCTTTTCAGTTCTTTTGCTCAATTGTTTCTTTATCAATGATCTGGATGAGGGGATTGAGTGCTCCCCCAGTAAGTTTGCAGATGAAAAAGATGTAAAATAAGTTGGGAGGGAGTGTTGATCTGCCTG